ACTACGCCTTCTGAAATCCACTTTTCCCCCACCTCCGACCACCACGACGCCATCGTCAACCCACCCACCCATTCCCGTACCTCCCACTGCTACACCCACCCCTCCCCGTTCCTCCACACCCACCACTCACCCATCTTTCCGCTCCCTCTTTCCACCACCGACTACAACCTATACGGGTTTGGGTCTCTCCCACCCACCCACTTTGGCCACTCTTCCATCGTCAATTCCTTTAACCCGGCCCACACCATCCCCTACTACCATTACACCCAGGGCCATTTCCTCTCACCCATACTAGGCTTCTTCCTCCAATTTCTCTCTACACCCGTCCACCCCGCCCTCATCCTTCTCCCACGCCTTCCACCTTGCACCCAGCCCTCCTTCTACGACCCCCCACCCTCCCTCTCATTTTACATATCCACCCAACTCATTACACCCCCTGCCCACATCCATTCCATTACCTTCCCACACTCAACCACACTTCACACCCACCTTTCCTCCCCAACCCCCTCATTTTAAACCTATCAAAATCGATTTACCACGTTTTACTAGGGATGACCCTTATGGTTGGCTGGCCATGGCTGAAAGATACCTGGACTACTACGAGGTTCCCCCAAATCAATGGGTTTTGGTGGCAGCCTGTAACTTTGGCGCCGATGCATCGATTTGGATGCGTGGATTCGAACAAAGGTACGGTCGTGACAACTGGAGCCTCTTTGTCGACCTCTTGCTTCAACGATTTGGTGGTGGTGACCGTGCTAACATTGAATCTCAGCTCACCCACATTCAACACAAAGGCACCATCGATGAATATATCGCCGACTTTACCAAACTGTCTTGTAGGGTGATTGACTGGTCTGAAAACCAGTTGAAACATGTGTTCCTTGGGGGATTACGAGACGACATCCGTCACGATGTCTTGGCTCTCGAACCCGACTCTCTCCACCAAGCCCAGAAGCTCGCCAAAATCTTTGAAACCAAAAACCAAGCCAAACGTTATACCCGACTCTCTCGCCCTTTCCCATCCTCCTCCTTCTCGAGACCACCCATTCCCCCCACCACATGTCTTCCCACAGGTCCTCCCCACACTCCATATCACCCACCACAACCCTTCAAACGTTTAAACCCAGCGGAAGTCCAAGATAAAATTCGAAAAAAAGAATGTTTTCATTGTTCAGAGCCTTATACCCCTGGCCACAAATGCAAACATCCAATGATGGTATTATTGGACATTGATACCCCCGAGGATGATTCCCATGAATTTCAGGATTGTAATCCTGCGGAGGACAACCCCATTGATCACTCTTGTCACATGCTTAAGCTGTTTTCGATCCCGAACCTTGGATTTGGTCAACCTATGCGATTACGTAGCTCTATTGAATCCACACCCATCAAGGTCCTTATTGACTCCGGCTCTGCTTGTAACCTTTTGAGCGTCGATATTGCCCAACAGTTAGGGCTGCAAATTGAGCATATTACTCCAATACCATTCACCACAGCTTCTCACAAACAGGTCACCACCACTATGCGAGTTCATAATGTGGCTGTCAAATTACAAGATTATACTTTAGTGGGGTCCTTTCTCTTACTCACCATACCTGGTTATGACTTGGTGTTGGGAGCCGAGTGGCTCGAGTCCCTAGGCTGGATAGGTTAGCATTTTCAACACAAAACCATGCTTTTCACAACACATGGCCACACATACACCCTCCAAGGCCTTCATACGGCCCACCCACCCTTACACCTGTGCCACTCCACTCAATTCCCTTCTTCCACTACTCCCCCACCCCACCGACCCACCTTACCCACCGCCACACCACTTACCCCACCATCTAATACCCATCCCGCCCTTCTTTCCCTGTTATCTCAATACCAACATCTATTTTCTTCCCCTATTGATCTACCACCACCCAGACATATTGACCACACGATCCCGTTGCTCCCAGATACCCAACCCATCAATGTTCGGCCCTATCGATACCCTCATTCTCAGAAGGCAGAAATTGAGAAACAAGTGCAGGAACTCCTCTCATCCGGTGTCATTCGGAACAGCAACAGTCCATTCTCCTCCCCTGTTCTATTGGTCAAAAAGAAAGATGATTCATGGCGTCTTTGCATCGATTATCGAGCTCTCAACGCTGCTACAATTAAGGATCGTTTCCCAATTCCCGTAGTGGATGAGCTTTTGGATGAATTACATGGTGCTTGCGTCTTCTCCAAACTCGACCTCCGCTCCGGGTACCACCAGATACGAATGTGCACAGAAGACATTGCCAAAACTGCCTTTCGTACACACGACGGTCACTACGAATTCTTGGTAATGCCTTTTGGATTGTCCAATGCTCCCTCTACTTTTCAAGCCCTTATGAATTCCATTTTCCGTCCGTACTTACGAAAGTTTGTGTTAGTATTTTTTGATGATATTCTGGTGTATAGCTCATCTTTGAATACTCACATTTCCCATTTAGATGCCGTTTTCCAACTTCTCTCCACACACAGCTTGAAAGTGAAGCTCAGTAAATGTTCATTTGGACAACATCAAATTGATTATTTGGGCCATACTATTTCGGGGCATGGTGTTTCTGTGGATACATCTAAAATTGAGGCAATCATCAATTGGCCACGCCCAGTTTGTATTAAAAGCCTTCGCAGCTTTCTGGGCTTAACAGGTTATTATCGTAAGTTCGTCAAGCTTTATGGGGTGCTCGCCAAGCCATTAACAACTATGTTGCAGCAGGGCAACTTCTTATGGACTCCTGAATCTCTTAATGCTTTTGAGACCCTGAAACAGGCCCTCACATCCACTCCAGTTCTTGCTCTCCCTGATTTTACAAAGCCATTTATGGTGGAAACTGATGCCTCCGGCACCGGCATCGGAGCAGTATTGTGCCAAGACGGCCACCCAATCGCTTACCTTAGCAAAGCTTTATCCGGACGCAATCTCGCTCTCTCCACGTATGATAAAGAGCTCCTAGCTATTGTGGTTGCCGTCCAACACTGGAGACCATATCTGTTAGGACAAAAATTCCGGATTGTCACAGATCACAAACCCATCAAGTACTTTCTCGAGCAACGCATCACAACCCCACATCAACAGAAATGGCTTGCCAAACTTTTGGGTTATCACTATTCGGTTGAATACCGACCGGGATCACAAAATGGTGCTCCTGACTCTCTGTCCCGCCAAGCCGAGCCCATGCAGCTGATGGGTCTCTCCTCTCCCATCTTGGACTGTATTCCTGCCTTTCAACAAGCTTATGCGACGGATCCTTCTCTTTCCAGTGTCTAGCCTGCTTTATTGTCTTCTCTCGATACAACCATTCAAGGTTTTTCCCTCCACAATGGCGTCATACACTACAAGCACCGTATTTATGTTCCTTCTACATCACAATGGCGTTATACAATCCTCAAAGAACTTCATTCTTCCCTACAAGGTGGCCACTCTGGATTCCTTCAAACCTATCATCGCGTGAAACGCAGTTTTCTTTGGCCCGGCATCCGACGCGACGTCAAGACATTGGTTGCCCACTGCAACGAATGCCAACGCCAAAATCATGAAACCATCCACCCCCCGGGCCTCTTGCAGCCATTACCCATCCCCAATGGCATTTGGCAAGATATTGCACTTGATTTTGTCGAGGGTTTACCTTCTTCACATGGTTACACAGTCATCTTGGTTGTGGTCGACCGTCTAACCAAATATGGTCACTTCATCCCCATCAAACACCCATACACTTCAGCTACAATAGCCGACACTTTCATTAAGGAGATTTTCCGTTTACATGGTATGCCCAAATCCATAGTATCCGACCGTGATCCAACGTTTCTCAGCAACTTCTGGAAGGAATTTTTCAAACACCAAGGAAGCAAGCTCTGCCATAGCTCGGCCTACCACCCTCAATCGGATGGCCAAACGGAAGTACTCAATCGCACTTTGGAGCATTATCTCCGATGTTTTTCTGCGGATAAACCAAGCCAGTGGTCTTCCTTCCTGCCATGGGCCGAATGGTGGTATAACACCACCTACCAATCTGCTATCAAGATGTCCCCCTTTCAAGCCTTGTACGGGGTTCCCCCTCCATATGTCCACACTTATATCCCTGGCACAACAGCAGTTCAGTCAGTCGATGCTGCACTCCAGGACCGAGACCAGCTGCTTCGTCTTTTACGGACTAACATTCAGCTTGCCCAAAACAGAATGAAACAACTCCATGATAAAGGTCGAACTGAACGAGAGTTTATGGTCGGTGATTGGGTCTTTCTCAAGCTTCAACCCTATAGGCAACAATCTGTCGCCATGCGCCATTCCAACAAACTTGCACCTAAGTTTTATGGGCCATTTCAAATTCTGGAACGCATTGGCTCGGTGGCTTATCGTCTCAACCTTCCACAAGACTCCAAAATCCACCCTATTTTCCATGTCTCCTTGCTCAAAAAGAAGGTTGGCGCAACGATTCCTACCAGTCCCACCCTTCCACCGATGGACTCCACGGGATTCTTCAAATGGCAACCAGACACAATTTTGGACAGAGGCATCTTCAAGAAAAAGAACAAACCAGTAACTAAATGGTTAATCAAATGGGCCGGACTACCAACGGAAGACGCTACCTGGGAAGAGGCTGATGATATCCTTGCACGTTTTCCTGATTTTCAGACCTGCGGACAAGTCTCTTCTCAAGCAGGGGGGAGTTGTTAGGACCATATAACTTGGGCCTTTAGCTAGCTCTCTTCCAGCCTGTGATTGTTAGCCCTTAACCAAGTTCACTTAAAGCCCAGCCTGTTGTGCTAGGGTTCCCTTGCAGATTGTATATAAATAGATCATTGTAATCTGAAAAGGATGAATGAATGAAATCTGCCTATTTTCCTTTCGAACTCTCTTGTTCTTTCCTTTTCTTTCTGCACTGTTGCTCTGATTTCTAGCTTTCTGTGTATGAGACCGATTGGGCCTACCATTTTCCTTTCCTTTTTGAAAATTATGATCTGGGTTTTTTTTTATTTTTTAGCCGATTTGATTAGTATTTGGATTATTTGTGGTTGCCGGGCCGTTGTGCGTCTATTTAGATTTGGGATTTTTTGCGTTCAGAGGGTTTCGACATCTCTAATTGGGGTAAAGAATTCCTGCTGTTTCCCCTTTTTTCCGTTTGGGATTTCTAGGTTGTGGCTGGGTTTTTGGCCAATTTACACCTCTTTTCAAGGGTGGCGTCATTGCAGCCCGCTGTGGAACAAGTGTGATCCAACTAAGGTATATTTTATAATCATTTTCTTTTGGTTTTTCCTTTGTTTTGATGAAACCTTAATCGTTTCCTTTTATTGTCAATTGTGGTGCTCTCTTGGGTTTTCCCTGTTAAAGGAGAATTTTGTGTTTTTGTTCTTCAGTTGGCAAATCTCTGATTTGCTGGTATTTGCAACGTTGCTGTAATTTTTTGGGTATTTTTATGCCCTTCTGCTTCAGACATGGATTGGTAATTATTGGATTTAAATGGATTCGTAGTTTTTGATGAGAGGAGTTGTTGAGGTTGTGTGAAGGTTTGTTTTTCTGGGTTTTATGCTGCATGGGGTTACAAACACGGAGAGGAGGAGAGGAAACATTAATTTAGATTGTGATTTAATTTTTTTTTTATATGTTCTTGGTGATATAAACTGTGTGAGTGCAGTTGTTTTAAAATTATTTGTGTGTGCTTTTTATGGTATTGCTTTTTTCCAGTTTGGATTAAAATGGATTTTGAATTTTTGAGAAGAAATTAAAAGGGTTGTTGGAATTTTGGAAGCCTTTGTGTTTTTGGTGAACACGCAAACAATCTTGAAAATTTGTGTTAAAAGACTAATGTTTGTATATAAAAATTGCAGCCATGTGGTAAAGAACAATGGTTCATTAATCTAAATGTCAATGGACTAATCCATGTGTTGACTGTGTTGACTGTGTTGAAAGGCACAAATTTTTTTGACATGTTTGGGTTTCATCTCATGTGGATTAGTGGAAAAACAAAATGGTATTGCTCTGACAGATTGTTGGTCGCTTACAGGGATATTACGAATCGTGATTCTAAATCAGCTTCTCCTTAGTTCACAAATACCAAGATCGTTATTTATCTGTGAGTACATGTGATTTATGAATTGACATTGTCCCTGGGTTTTGTACTAATTAAATTTCTATAATTAGTTTGGTGTTTTCATTTCGTTTGCTTATTTGATTTTCTATTAGAGCGCATGGATTAAGTTGCAGACAGATATAGTAAACTCTATTTCATGCTCTTTTTGGGTTTTGGCTGCTTTAGGTTTGATTTGAAAGAAACTCAGAAGAAAAAAAATGAAGGGCGGTGATGTAGAATGGTTAAATTGCAATTTCAGTTTTACATACTTAAACTTAAGATGTGTACGCTGCAAAGTGAGTTGGCTAAAGAAGCCCTTTGGACGCTTTTTGTTAATATCTCATGGGCTTTGCTCTTTGATTTCAGAAATTTTGTGCCCATCTTGGGTTCGCTTTGAACTTGGTTGAGACCGATCTAATCCGGCGTTTCTAGGTGAGTTCTGCATGTTTATCAGCTTATATGGTTTCGATCTTTTGTTTTTCGTTGGATCGTTATTGTGCGTGTCTGATGCATTTTGTTTTCCAGATTCAGGAAACTGTCCCTTTTAGATTTTTGGATTTTCGATTCTGATTCTTGGAACTCTTTGTGCTAAAGGTATATAAATGTATTATTTGTTTTTTCCTTTGTTTTCTTTGCAGCTGAATTTGATTTTTTTTTGTTTTGTTTTGGTGATTTGGGACCTCTTTTGTGCATGTTTGGGTTGTTAATTGGTAATGCATATTTTCTTGCTGATTTTTGTGCTAGCAATTTTATTTAAATCCACAGCTGCTTTTTTTCATTTGACTTCATGTGATGGTTATGATTGATTCATAAGATTTAGGTGGTCGTGATAAAATTAGAAGAGTGATATCTATGGTATTTTGGATTTGTGAGAGTGATTTGTTAGAGCAGTGAGTAAATTTTCATATGTAGTGTAGGGTCAAGTTTAATAATCATTAATGCGATTTGGTATATGTCTGGTACAAACACTTTCAAATTGTAGATACACGGTTTGTTGGTGCAGCAGGGGGCTGGAAAATTTTTTCAGTATGTATTTTATGGTTTGGCTTTTTTTTGTTAGGCCTTTCCCGGCTAAAACAGTATTTTGCATTTTGGTTGCTCAGTTAATAAATTTGAGATCTGCTGGCACCTGTGACGCTCTTCTTATATTTTGGATAAGTTTTATGTCCTGCTTTTTTTCCAGCTTTAAAATGCATTGATAATTGTTGGATTCAAATAGATTTATAATTTTTGCGAAGAAATGAGAGGATTCATGTTTTACGAACAGGGAGAGGAAGAAAGAAAACATTAGTTTAGATTGCAATTTTAAAACTTTTTATGTTGTTAGTGCTGGAACCAATGTGTTTTGTTGCGAAATTGATAATGTGCAAAGTTATTAGAATTTTGGAAAACTTTGTCTTTCTCACTTTTACCTGGCAGAGGGAACACAACTCTTACGTGTATGATTTCAAGTTTTTCCCTTAGAAATTCAAGCTCTATTGGATACATGAGGTATAAGAGTCTATTTGGGATATTTTCAAGTTTTACTGATTCCTGAAAAGAAGCATGCTTAAGAGTAATCATATTTCAGTTTTTATTGAATTCAGGTAACCATCTTCAGTTTTTTGCTTTGATCTGAAGGCTTTGTTTTTATTGAGTTCAGATATCAAAGTTGGGAATCAGTTCATATGTTTTTCAATGTTTTTATTCCGATTTAATAATGTGATTTAATGGTGTGATGCTGATTTAGGCTAAATTCAGAGGCTTTTCAATAGGCAAGTTTGCAACAAGGAATTCAGAGGCAGTTGTATCATTAGCTGAAATATACTAGATCTAATCCTTAGACATCATTTTTCACTTTGATTAAGATGTGTGTCTGCCTTCTCAGTACAAAACTGGCTTACATATCATTTTACACCATATTCTCATGTTTTTTTTATGCATGTTTACATCCAATAGTTTCAACACTCGCAGCAACGCGCGGGCACTATTGCTAGTATGAAACTAAAGTATTAAATAGTCATACTGGTGCTTAAGACTATCTCAATTATGAAAGCCCCTTCTTGGGTAACAAAAAAGCCACTAGATGTGTTGTCTTGTTGCAAACACGAGGAGTGGGGATAAATTCTAGGGAACTTTAACGAAAAGCACCTGGTACTGTTCACTTTAACGAAAAACCACATTTTTACACTAAAAAGTCAATCCTAGTACTATTCACTTTACCCTTTATTTTGTCCTTATCATTAAAACTCAAAGTTTTCAAGTCCTTTTCATTAGTTTTCCTTAAATTCTATTGACCTCAACTGCTATTTCAAAAACTAAACATCAAAGAGGATACCTTCAATCACAACATCAAGTTGGGTTTTCCCGTTAAACACTAGACATTTGGAGTCCGATTCTATATGAACGACCTCAAAGCCCTTTTTTCATATTCATTTAAAATTCATTTCTATGTCAAAAAATGCACTCAACAATATTAATTAATCAATTGTTATTTTTATGGAATCTCATCCCTTCCTCAATTTAAGGATTCAATTATCTAAATTATTTGTAACTTTATTTTATACAAAATGGTTTTAACTAATACATATAAAAGATGACATCTTTAGTTTTTTTTTTTCTTCAGGAGTGTAAGTTACAAAATTATCCTTTATAGTTTTTACACTCTTCTATCTCCTTCATCCATGTTGCTCCTTTCTCTCTTTCTCCTTTCAAGAAATTTTGGTTCGATCAGCACAGACCTGCCGTTTCTAGGATTACACCAAATCGAAACCTCGCGACTCGATTCAGTATTGAAAGCGTAAAGTAATTTGAATCCATATTTATCAAGAATGTCTCCACCTCTAATTGGTTTTGGTCCCAACCTCCCAAACCCGGCTTGAACATGTCTATTGACATTTCCCTTGTCAATACAGGCAGATTTCCACTTTTGGAACCTCTGTCCTTGAAGTTTTGGGATTCAGATTTGGGTTTGGAGAAGGCTAGTCGGATTTTGGGCCCGTTTCCTCAAATTCCCCAGTTTTGCTGTTGGCTTTCTCGTCCATTTTTTTGGGATTTTAGGTTGCAATTTTTCCCTCTCTATGTTGTTGGTGTTATTGCAGGTTGTAATTGCAAGGGGTTGACAGTTGTTGGAAATTTTTTAGTAGAAATATCATTCTACATTGTCCCACATTGGTCACTACCAAAAGGTTTAGTCATTTTATAAGACTTTGTCCTTTTTAGAAAGTGATTTGAGTGATGGATCTTGGAGAGTAAAATTAGGCTCAACTTTGGGTTTTGGGCTTTGGGGTATGCTAATTAATTGATAATTAATATATAATTAATTATCAAAAATGGGCCTCGGCCTCTAATAATTAAGTTCCTTAATTAATTATTTTTTAATTAATTTTTATATCAACATACTCACTTTTTCAGATGAAGTTTGAAGCGATGAAAGAACGCCAAGGAGCAAAGCACCCTTCTGAGAAAATGTCTCCCAAAAGACGCATATTGTCACATCCCGACCCGGGCCCCCTTCCGTCGTAGCACGATATTGTCCATTTTAGGCCTCGATCATGCCCTCACGGTTTTGTTTCTGGGAACTCACGCGAGCAGAACTTCCCAGTGGGTCACCCATCCTGTGAATGCTCTAGCCCATTCTCGCTTAACTTCGGAGTTCCTACGAAACCCGAAACCAGTGAGCTTCCAAAAAGCCTCGTGCTAATTGGAGGTGGGTATGTACATATAAGGCATAGATGATCCACTTCCCTGAACGATGTGGGATCTCATAATCCACCCCCCTTAGAAGAATTATGTTTTTCTATTGTATAAAATGTGAAACACCTGGAGGCCAAGAACACTCAATGATTAACCATTTTATTAGGCTCTTTGCTGGTTTATTTTAACAAATTACCTACGAGCAACCAGATATACAGATTCACATTATCAGAACATGAAAGGAACGATATATATCAAAAATGTCAACGAATCAACATTTATTGAGAAATATGCACATACAAAACCTCAGGACACTAAACAGACGTTGAGTTGTATAATAAAACACGGGTTAACTCTCTCTCGTTGTATTTTTTATTAAAAGTTTATGATTGGTTCTATTCGTACGTACTTCCGGTGTTTATTTGAGCTCGCTAGACTTGGAATCATAATACAAGTGTGAGGTGGTTCATTGGAGCTATGAAGGAGCCTAAAACATGAAGAGATAAAAGTGTTTAGGGTTTGAATTGTATGTTTATTCTTCTCTCTATAAGGTAAATATATAGTTGTACAATATTCCACATAACAGGAAATAAGAATCCCAATTATACAAGGAATAAATTATAGGATTACATTCATAAACTAAATGGTTGACTAATTGTTGTGCATCCTAATTGTGTGTGATATAAAGACATCGTACGGACTAGCCCGTATATTTTCGACTGCCGACTCACTTCCATTTTTAGAAAATAAAATACAAAAGAAAAAGTAAAGATATCATGTTGTTTGTGGGGAAGGTTTAAAGCAAAAGTTGGGAGGTATTCATTTTAAGTAAAGATACCCAATCCGTGGAGGTAAGTTCCACTTTCAACTTTATTACTCCATTAGCAATAGTGAAAGCTCTCGTGGAGTATCAGCAATCATGTAATAAATAATATAAAATAATAATAAGATATTTAACTAAACAAAAATAATTTGTACGTGAAGTTTTAGCAATCATGTAGGAGATGGAGTGCTTATCCAACAAAAATAATATAAAATATGTAATAGGCATCTTCACTGGGCAAATATGTAATAAATAATATAAAATAATAATAAGATATTTAAATAAACAAAAATAATTTGTAGAAGATGAAGTGCTTATCTTCTCCGATGGATGGTTGTCGGAGACGACACCTTTCCTGTTAAGAAATTGAAGCTCCAACATAAGCAACAACAATCTCCACCCACCAGTTCGGCCTCTCGACGTCACGAGCTCCAACCCGATTATCCAGTTCATAGTGAAATGTGCACAGAGGCCCCAAATCACAGCATCCCCAACAAGTGCTCAAACAACACGACCTTGCATGCGACATTGATCGTGTCGTCGTCTGACCTGTCGGCCAGTTCCTTGAAAAGCGAGTGGTCTATGATGTTGGAGGCCACAAGGTAACGTCTTTAGGACTTACCCACGTAGACAGGGCGTAGCTCTCCTAAGATTACGTCCATGGAGTAGTCGTCATTGGAGGCGGGCTGGGGAAGCTGCGGAGCTGGAGGCGCCACATGCGACTGCTGGGCCCACATGCAGGTGCCTGGGCATTCGACGTTGGCATCATCATGTAGGGCTGCGCGGGTTGCCGACCATACCGCTGGCGGAGCCACACCTTCTTCTCGTTGAGGGAGCATCGTGACTGGATTAGCTCTGGGAATCGAACTTGTCAGACTTGCACCTCTGAGATTCTTTTACCGACGTGTTTGACGATCTCCTTTCCGGGAAGCTGGTGTTGGTGCAATGGCCTGGTGTTTGTGTCAAGGTAATGGAAGACTCCCCTTATGACTGTCATTTCATTGCGAGGATTGATGGGTTGGTGCTTCCATAAATTAATTTACTTTGGAAGACTGTCTGATTCAAATTACTTCCGATCCAAGCTCTGATGAGGGAGCTGAGAGTTAAGGAGATGGAACACAGAAAGTTGCTGCTGATTTATTGGATGAAATCACACTTAAGGTTGTGCCTACATCACTTCTTACATATCTTTTATCAACTTGCATGATTCTTTCAACCCAAGCTCTTTTGTCATTGTTTTCAAAGCCAACCACTGTGGTATGAGGGAGATGGATATATCTATAGAGAAGGATGATGTGATAGACAAACATGATGAGCAATCCACTTGAGACCAACATCAGATCAAGGGCCTCATTTTCAAAACTCATAATTTTGCTTTGCTGGTTTTGCTAACCTCTGATCCAAGAAATAGGGGATTCAGTGGATTGAAACGTGATATGGCTTGGCTAATTTGCTGGGTGGAAGAAAATGGAGACAAAGACTGAGGTAGATGAGAAGAAATATCTACGGGGGTGAGGGAGAGAGATAGAGAGAGAGTGTCTCTCGGTTTTGCAGATCCACGGTGGACGGTGGTGAGGTTGTCACGGTGGTGAGATGAAAATTTGAGAGATAACCGACATAGCGTTTCGTGTCGATTCCCACAGACAGCGCCAAATGTTGATGCACAAAACCGGAGGTCTTGGAACAACGTAAATCCGACCGTGTATCTGCAAGAAATGTAAATAACACAAGATGTATCGTGGTTCACCCCAATGTTTGGGCTACGTCCACACTGATTGTATTTCTTTGACTGTATGTATGGATTACAAGGGTGAGGGGAAGTCCCCTAAAGAAAGAAAGTGTTGCTGTGTTTGTGAGGGTATTGCCCTCTGTTGGGTTCACAAAGTCTGATTTGTGAGGGGGGAAGAGTCCCCTTTTATAGAATAAGGGGCTCCTCCTTTTATATAATTATGGGCTGGGTAATGAGGCCCAAATGTTGAGGCCCAATGTGTCAAGGTCTGAGGCCCAATATGTTTGGTACCAACAGCTACTAAAGATAAAAGGACTCGAATAGTATTCATTTTGGCGACCGGAGTGTCAATGAATCCATTCGCCTTGTGCTTTATGGTGAACACCCATTTACATCCTACTGGTCTCTTCCCTTGTGGTAGTGACACTACATTCCACGTTTTTTTTCTTTGTAAGGCTTCCATTTCTACTCACATGGCTTCTACCCAACAGGGATCTCGCAAAGCCTCTTCCACTTTTGTTGGAATTTTAATCCCCAACCATTTGATTCACCATGGCTTGGTACTTTGGTGATAGTTGATGAGTGAACACATACTGTGCAATTGCATATCTCACTTTTCCTTCCGGAGAAAACCTATCAGGTGGTTTCCCGCGGTTTTGCCTAGGATGTAAAATATAGGAATTTTCAACAATATCTGGAGTATGAGAACATACCTCTTGGATATCCATGGGAACATGAGTGTGTACTAGTGGAGGAGAATGAGTGTTATTTTCTGTTTGCACAGTCTTAGTATCACTCGCGGACCTATTACCTTCTATTGAATCCATAAATAGTGTAGGCCTACTATTCGATGTTGCATGAGCTATCTCTCGGTCAGGGGTTTCATTTGCGGACCCATTACCCTCTGGTAAGGTGTGGTCAAGTGGGTTGCTTATAACCCCTAAGTCTTCAGTCTCGGTCTCGCCTGTACTATTAGGACCATGCCAATTGTCTCGTTCATGCAGAACATCAAACCAACTGTAGTCTTCGTCTTTACTATTCAACTCCCCCTGAAGAGTACAGTGGGTTTGATCAAGGATGAAAAACATCTTGGTTTCAGAAAATGTGACATCCATGGTGACATAGAAATGCTTAGTAGGTGGATGGTAACATCGATATCCCTTTTGTTGGCTATTAAATTCGAGAAATACACAACGAACAGCACACGGATCGAATTTACTCCGTTGATTCTTGTGAAGATGCACATAAGCCACACATCCAAATATGCGAGGTGATAATTGAAGAGAAGATGGTAGAGTGACATAATCCGTCAGGACTTCCATGAGAGTTCAGAAGTTGTGAACTCGATAGGGCATTTGATTAAGAAGATAAACGGAATACGTAACTGCATCCGCCTAATAGGCATGAGGAGCATGAGCCTTAATTAGAAGAGCCTGTGTAGTTTCCAAGATATGTCTATTCTTACGTTCTGCCACACCATTTTGTTGAGGAGTTTGAGGACAAGTAGTCTCATAAAGTGTGCCGTGCTCTGCCAAAAATTGTGATAGTTCAAAATTAAGATATTCTCCACCATTATCGGATCACAAGACTTTGATAGGAAGAGAAAATTGATTTCCAATCATTCGATAAAACTATTGGAAAATTTGCCTAACGTCACTCTTCTATTTCATGGCATAGAGCCAAGTCATTTTGGTGCAATCATCTACAAAGGTAGCAAACCACCAAATACCGTGGCGCGTTGCTATTGGCGAGGGACCTCATACATCAGAGTGAATTAACTCAAAGGGCACTAATCTTTTATTAAGACTCAAGTGGTAAGAAGTACGATGACATTTTGCAAGAATGCAATCTTGACACCGAAAATCAGAGTCAGAAACGCCATTAAATAAAGACGGAAGTAATTTTCTTAAATAACCAAAAGATGCATGTCCTAGTCGATGATGCCATAACCAGATTCTCTTAACCTTGTTGTTGTGACCACTGCTCACTTGGTTGACTTGGCTCGGTACCACATCATCCACATAATATAACCCTATCATCTTAGTACCAAGCCAATGATCGCCCGTGTTTGGATATCTTGTAGTAGACAAAAAGTGGGAAACATGAGTACAACACAATCTAATTGTTTCATAACTTGACCAACAGAAAGTAAATGATTCAATAGTGAAGGAACAAGAAGAGTGTTATGCAGAGATAGAGAGAGGGAGTAAGGGTGACGGAACCCGTTCCTGTAACTAGAGCAATTTCACTGTTTGCTGTGATAACATTCTCCTTGGGTGGCACGGTTGAGTAGTGAAACAAGGATTCATCATATGTCATATGGTCTGTAGCCCTAGAGTCAATTATCTAGCCGGATCTCGTTTATTGGATGTTGTGAATGCAGTACCAATTTTACTTGGATCGTCAAATTGATCTTGAGAATTAATTAAATTTAAAAGGGAAAACTCTGGGCGCAAATTTTCTGAGTGAATAAACTGGGCTGCTGTCTGTGGATGGCCCAAATGGGCCTGCACCCTCCTGTTTGTTCCTGTCCGTACAAGATTGCTGCTTTGTTGGATATTGGGCTCCAGGCTCTGCCCCAACCTGCTGGAGATCACTACCGCATGGCCTGCTGCAGAATTCATTCAAGGCAGGCGCGGAATCCGAAGAGGGAATCATGACTTGGTTGTCTACCACGGAAGAAGACTTGTTGGTACTTGTACACATCTAGGATGCCAGCTCTCTTGTTTCAAGATGTTTGGCTTTGGGTTTTCTAGGTTTGATGGTTGGTGAACCTGCCTTCGGTCAATGGGATAAAGCTAAGAAAATTGTTCCTGTCAGCGATGTCTCTTGCTTCGAGACACTGCTGGAAAAACAAAAAAATTTCTTTTGGTGTTTCAGAGTTTTGCAGAGAAAGAGTCAGAATTGAAGCCAAGATAAAAGTGTTTAGAATTTGAATTGTATATTTATTCTTCTTTGTAGAGGGTAAATATATAATTGTACAATATCGCACATAACAGGAAATAAGAATCTCAATTATACAAAGAATAAATTATAAGATTACATTCCTAAACTAAATGATTGACTCACGCCCATCACGCCCAACATGAAGTAGTTCCGAGATAGTGGAACTGTGGTGGCTGGACTGCAGGTAAGAACCACGCCGTCTGCTGTTACCTTGTATGTTTCCGGATCAACCTCTATATTTGGTAGGGCGTCATTGAGCTTCATGTCGAGTTTGCTGAGTTTCCTAACGTTACGCACGGCTTCCACTCTCTTGTCAAGGCGATACGAGTCTTTAACGCAGTTATCTACAGCTGCCTGTTTGCACAGTGAAATAAAGAGAAAATCAGTCTTGCTAATGAATCTCGCGTGAGAGAGAGAGAGAGAGAGAGAGATCCATGCCTGGCTGACAAAAGCAATGGAATGAGCACTACCAGCCTTGCCAAATGCACCAAACATAGGCCTTGAAATAACCTGGGAAGACATAAGGTTTTCTAGAGTAATCAGAACAAAAATCGCTAAAATTATTACACCCTAGAAAGAATATCTACTACCAACTCCAAATTCTTTTGGACCCTCCTCAACGTAATTCATCAATCACGTAAAAGAATTGTCATGACTAGAAAATGCATCCATGCATAAGAACTGTTTGTAAACTATAAACTTTACCGTTTCAGGGGCGGGGATGCTTGCATTTGGATCACCCATATTAGCCCTTGCAATTGCACCACCTTTGATCACCATTTCTGGTTTTGCGCCAAAGAACGATGGCTTCCATAGAACAAGATCAGCCAGCTTCCCCACCTGCATAACATGCAAAGCGCATGAGAAGAATGAGAATTCCGCTATTTTAATGGCAATAACAGTGTTTATGGAACTCACGAAATCAGAGCCGGCCCTGAGGGTGTGCAAAAAGTGTCACAGGCTCCCAAAGTTTCTTTACATGTAAACAGATACCTATTATATACTCAAATGTGCAAGATAATAATAATCACCACGCCAGCGCTAGTGGTGTAGACCTTCAATCTTCTTGTACATGGCTCTGGTTCGAGTCCTTGTAGAACTATTTTGCTATTTTTAAGTTTTGCAAATTTATTAACTTAAAAAGTTGATAAGTTTTACACAAAAAACCATGTAACATATTTCGAACCGAAAACCTTTCAAGACAGGAAACACTCTTGTCCACTCAAAATGGTGCTCCAATTTGTAGTATTTAAATTTTATAGATACAAATTGAAAAAAAAAATAACAAAGAAAATACAGTATTAAAAAATGAAGGGCCTCCATCTAAATCTTGCACAGGACCCCTAAATTCTCAGGACCGGCCATGCATGAAATACAAGTAATTCCATAGAGGTAAGTTTCATCCAGGAGAGTTACGCATTCAAAAAGGTTGAAGCTCAAAGCATCAAGCTTAACTTCTATTCATTTGTTTCTCAAATGCTCTGCTCCAAATGAGAGGTTAAAATAAGCTTGAAAGAATTATTTTGGTTGTCTATGAGTGGCATACCTCAATAGAACCAACATACTGAGAAAATCCATTAACTATTGCTGGATTTATAGTTACTTTGCGATGTATCGTTTGATCCGGAAGTTGTCATTGTTGGATCCACTAGGTTCTATCGACCCTCTTTGTGACTTCATCTTGTCAGCTGTTTGCCAAGTTCTGATTATCACCTGATACGAAAAGTTTTTAGACAATAAGGAGTCTTGTACATGCCTGTGTGTGAAATAAATAGACAAAGACTACTACTAACGCCAGAAACAGAGATTTTCAAGTGAAGGCATAAAAAACCACGGTTTGGTAAAAGGCGACAATGATAATGTTCTATAATTCAACTTGAATAAGGACTTTTTGTTTTCTTTTTTTGTTACTGTTTTGCTACAGTTTCAATGAAATCGATACAAACAGACATATGCGGCGGGCATGTATCTCAATTTATAAAAGTTTTCTATGATCAGGAAGAACCAGAATGCATAAGGTGAAGGTAGTAAGAACCTCTCCGATGCGACCCATAAGCTGTGAATCAGAAGATACAATGCTAATTGCCCCCATATCGTGCAAAATATCTTCTGCGGCAATTGTTTCAGCCCTTATTCTTGATTCAGCAAAAGCTACATCTTCTGGAATGTCCTTGTCAAGGTGATGGCAAACCATCTGTACGCATTTGAAGTTTCAAAACAACATTCAGTCGAAAAACTCTAAACAACCTTAGTGCATGTTGTATCACTATTTCTGTTATCTTCTCATACCAGCATATCAAGATGCTCATCTATAGTATTTGAGGTGAGAGGCCGCGTGGGATTCGTTGATGACGGTAATACATTTTTCACGCCACGGACTTTGATTATATCTGGAGCATGGCCCCCACCTGCACCTTCACTGCCAGGAGATAACAAGGACAAACTATGAGAACAAAAAAGAAAAACACAAAAAAGAAGAAAAGAAGAAACGAAATGTAACGTGTAGGAAGTTATGCCAAGGATACTCATAAATTAATAATCATTGAATATATGTATACTTAGTGATAGGGAATTTACCACACACGCAAATGGGTTAAAAAGCTTCTATAATACTTGCAAGAATAACAAGGATATTGTAGTATAAATGGTTCTCGCAAGGTCGTTCTCCGCAGTGATTATTAAACAATTCAAAGCAAACCAAATTCTAATTAATTATTGTAAAACAGAAATTTGAGATGATTGGTTTTTATCATCTAATTTAATAAAACGAATTTAATTAATAAAAATAAAACAATCTGCAATATTAAGGCTGAAAGAAAAAGAAACAGTTTTAAAAATCCCAATTTATAAAAGCACTAGGGTTCCATCATTACCTAGCAATCCTATGCATTTTTACCAATTACTTATGATCTATGCATGCCACTTTGAAGGTTAGGTTTTCCTAATATATATCCTACTTGGAACCCCCAACATATAACGTATATCTAACATGTAATCCGTCCAGACGTTCGGATCAAATATGAACATAAGAGACTCATTAAGTTTTATGAAAACCGTTTGAAAAACCATGCAACCCTTAAGACATGGTGTTCATCTTAAGTAAAATTACAATTATTAATGCAAGAAGCCATCATCAATTTCAGGGAACCTTCCGACCAAAATTACATCAAATTACTTTTCTAAAGATCCTGATGGTGATTAGGCATTAAGACAATTAGATAGTTTTAATCATGGTGATTAATAATTCAAAGTGTGCATGCAATCAATCATAAGCAATTAAATAAGAATCAAATATTCATGCTAAAGCTCAAGACTTCGCCCTAGCAATAGGAATTAGTTAGGCATATTCATAATTAAAATCATAGAAAACATTAGTAAGAATAAAATGAATGAAAACACCTTAAAGTAGAAAATCTCCAAGAACCCTAGTAATTACTCTCTGTCTCCAAAGTTGCATAAAAGAAAGCGTAGAGAAAAACTGTGGACGGCAAAGCAATATATGTTGCATCCATTGCACAAACCCTAAAAAACCAGGTCCTTTATTCCAACTAGGAAACTAAGAATAATAATAAAATATCTTAGAAAATAAAATCCTAATTAAGCTAGGAGAAACTGCCAGGTACTTGTCCAGCCACGTTTTAGTCTCAGATATCCTCCAAATCTGGCCCATGATAGCTTGTTTTGAAGATCGGAACGTTATAAACACATCTCCATAAGGCTACAAACCCATCCGATGTCATCTTAGACTCCAAAAACGCAAGTCAAGCCCTAAACGTCATTATTCCAGCACCGCGCATTGCTCCTCTATTTTATTGCCGGAAAATCATCGCTTGGTAGAAAATTATGAAACTTTTGTGACAGCCCGTCCCTAATTTTAAGAATTTTTAAAGTTTTAATAAAGGATTTTACAAAAATGCCCTTCGAGGCACGCACATCATTCGAGGTTAATCGTTGTGTCGTGCCATCTAAGATTTGTTTTCTTGGCATATCCTCGTAGTACTCGTCGTTACGGACGTGTGGGCGCAGACGGTTCGTGATTTGGAGTTATATCGAAGAAGTTATTAACGTTTGAAATTTGGAATTTTAAGGAATTATAATTTTAGTAAAATATAGAAATTCTTTTATTAAAATTTGGATGGCCCAGATTAAAGGATTTTGAAATGGATGGCTGGGATGAGAAAAATGAAAGTTTTGTGTGGGTGTGTGCGTGGGAAGAACCAGAAAACAGAAAAGAGGAAGAGAGATTGGGCAAAAACTGCCCAATCGGAGAAGAAGGAGAGAGAGCGAATCAGAGGCAGAGAGGGGAAGAAACTGACCAATCGGAACAGGGAAAGGAGGAAGGGAGAGAGGGTGAGAAGCGGAGGAAAAGAGGAAATGGGTTGGGGAGAACCCGTGGGTCGTTTCGACCCGGCGGTGCCCACGCCCAAATTCGATGGATTTCGTCCAAATTTCCGACGAATTGAGTCAAGGTACCACTCCTAATCATCATCTAGGCCTTCCCTCTTTACGTTTCACCCCAAGAATCATTGAATTTCGTTGTGATTTCGCGAAGAACACCCCTACGGGTGCCGCGACCCTTTTGTTTAAATTCTCCAAATTTTGAAATGTTTTCTTTCAATTACTAACACCTTTAGCATTCCTTTAGGACCTAGAACAAAGCCCAAGAGGTAATTGAGGCGTTGGAACAAGTTTGAAGGTCGAATTGGAAACACCCAAATTCTAGGGTTCTTCACGGTTTTGGTGAAATTGAAGCACTTCCAGGCCAAATTGGCCTTGGTCTCAGGTATGAAAGTTGTTCTACTCATTGAGATCTTCAAATCTGCAAATTTTGGTAATTTTTGGAAATAGTTGAATTTTCCGGCGAGCCGGGGGCGGCCAACCGCCACCCGCGGCGGCCCGCGCGGCGGCGCGTGGCCAATGGCCCGCCAATGTCATTATTAGCTTGTGATTAAGGTTCTAGGTTCTGTTTTGATAATTGATGGACGTAAATTGAATAATTGAACCTAAGTTGGTTACGATTCGTGGTTAGATGAAAATGTGAATTGACGATCCGACCGTTTGGATCGTCATCAAACTTTGATACGTTGTAATACGTAATATTTGAGGATTATAGGAACTTACGGATTGGGAATCCGATTTACGGATCTTCTGGAATTGAAGTTGTAAGTTCATAAAATAGAATGTTAACCGTCACTTAGTTTTGGAAATTGACGAAGATCCGACCGTTGGATGGTAATGAAATTTTAGGATGTTGTCCTAGAGGTATATTGTGGACCTCTGGAAGTTACGGATTTGAAATCTGAATTGCAGATCATCCGGATCGAACTACGTAGTGACGTGTCTTATATAAGTTATGTATTCTATCGGCAGAATTTCTGAGGTTGGATTTGATTGTTGTTCTAGGCGCTAATCGTCATGACGCCTTGATGTACGGTGCTAGGGAGTTGTGGGCGAACTCCAGGTGAGTGGGCAGTTTTGTTTTCGTATTACCTATATACTATTGTTTTTCCCAGAAAAAAATGCTTTTATGCGAAATTATGTTTTGAAAATGCCATGCATAGAATTAATTGGAAAATGTGAATTTCATATGAGTTATATGATTGATATATATGAGGCATACATGTTGCATGGTGCTGTGGAGGCACAGGTAAGTCAGGTGAGTTCGTTTATTCATTGAATTGTTGTTGTTGAGATGTTTGAGCTCATAATCTGCACCCTAGGTGTTAGTGCTTATATTATTCACCACACCGCACGCTCGCCTTGGATCCAAGTAGGTGGATGTCGTACAGACCATGTGAGGGTTCCGACATGCCAGTCGTACAGACCATTAGAGGGGTTCCGACTGGTGGGTGACCTTAGATATGCGCGCTGATGATATGATGAGAGAAGCACTAGAGCGTATTTTACACCTTTCATCGTATAGACTACCTTACGTAGTTCCGAGTGATGTGCAGAGTAGGGCCGTATAGGTCACTGTGGTGACTCCGGCTTAGTGAGATATTGAGCTATTGAATTAATCGTATAGGACCAACTGCAGGGTCTCCGATTGATTCCTTATTTCACCTGATTTATATTTTGATTTATGGCATGGCATGTTTTTCTTGAAAAATGTTAAAGATTTGGGATTCAAGCTTTGAGATTTCATATGGTTATATATATAATATATATATATATATATATATATATATATATATATTTCTGAAAAGTGTTAAAGGTTTGAGATTTGAGCTTTTTGCTTATATATATGTTATATATATGCTATTTTCTGGGAAAGTATACAGGTTTTACGGTGAGGGGTTATAAATGTTTTAAATGAAAAGTCTTCGAAAAACTTTGTTTTACTGACCCACTCAATTTTGTTTTGCGCCCCTCCAGGTTCAAGTTAGCAGAGCTTTGGTGGCCACGAGGAATCCAACGGTGTTCTGACAGAATTCACAAAAGTAGGACTCACCCTCGGGTGTGTTATCTTAGTAATTGGAATTTTTTTTTTAAAAGCTTCCGAACTGTGTAAATGGTTACGTCACTCTCACGTGACGGCCAGCACGCCCTCCTTCGGGACGGGGTGTGTCAGTTGGTATCAGAGCCTAGGTTGCAATTCTGGACATCTTGATAATTTCCTAGTGTCTTCTGTCAGAACTATACCGCCTCGTAGCGAGCCACGTAGTTCGGATGAGCCTAATTTCCCTGATATAGTAGTTTGGGGGGAAACTATTGCCATTGTGATTCAGTCTATTATCTAAAGGGACCTTTTGAGACTGGTTATAAGTTAAATTTGAATCCTTTAGGGATATGAAGGACCTAAGGGAGCAGATTGATGGCTTAATCAATTGGGAAAAGGCGTTTCAGATTATGCAAGGTTAAGGGAATTTTCCTCCCGATAGGTAGGTCGAGATGATTACCTAGTTTTTGAGTGATGAATCTGCATTTTGATGGAGATAGGAATGTTATCCGACAATATCGGAAGGACAACTGTTTGGAAGTTGTTTAAAAGAATTGTTTAAGAAAAGTTCATTCCCCCGGCATATTGTGATGGTAGTAAACAAGAAATTGCAAATGTGAGACGAGGAAAATGACGACGGATGAATATTATAGAAAGCTTACAGACTTGCCTTATTTCCATTCTGATGATGTTGTTAATTCGGTCGAGGTGTTATGTCGTTTTTGGCTGGATGATAAGAAGAAGTTGCGTTCTTTGGCGATCACTATCCATTGTACTTTTTACCAAGAGTTTACGGGATGCTGTTGGGCTTTGAAGACTTTGAGAATATGATCAGCGAGAGTAAAGAGGAATAAGAAAGGAATGAGAATCAGAATAAGACGATAAAGTTAAAGATTCGTCATATCAAAGACCTCGGAGGACTCAGAGCTTCAAAGGAAGTGAAATTAGAGCTAATTTTCCCAGCTTAAGTTTTACTGCCA